GCATGCCAGACGAGCGCGCTACCGCCTGAGCCACATTCCCAGCCCCGCAAGATTCCTTTCTATCTTTAGAAGAAAGTAAAAAAATCTCAAGGGCAGAGTAAAAGCCACAGTAAAGATTATAAGGTATATAACAAATTAGAGTAATTTTTTTTTTAAACAAATTATAAGGGATAATCTGGAACTTCCAATCCTATACCCAGTTCATCTCTAGTTCTCCCCCGCTGCCCTTTTCATTTCTAGTTCTTAACAGGGTTATAGGTACAAAACCATTTAACATTTTGAAACATGTAGCATATGCCAGGAAGTACTTCTGAGTACTTTATGTATTATTATACTAAGATCACTAATATAGGGAACCTGAATCATGGGGAAGTTATATAACATACCCCAGTTTCTAAGTTTCCTCCACAGTCAGTAAGTGGAGGAAACAGAATCTGACACTATCAACCTAGATCCACAGACTACTCAGAGACTAGGTACACTGAGCTAATCCATTTTTTTTTTTTTTAGTCTTATAGTTTTAAAAAAGAATATGGGGAGTCTATGCATGTGTGGGGTGCAGGAGGTAAATTAAAAATCTTTATACCTTCCTCTAAATTTTGCTGTGATCCTAAAATTGCTCTTAAAAAAAATAAGTCTTTTTAAAAAATTAAATGAAAAATAATAAGCTGAAACAGTCTAGGAAAATGGCCCAAACAGTCTAGGAAAAAAGGTATATTTGGAGCCATTTCCTTTAGCTCATGAGCAGCTCAAAGAACGTTTTCCCCTAGTATACAGAAATTCAGGGACAAAACTAGGGAAGAGAAAGTATAGCATGAGGAAGGAAGCCAACCATGAGCAATAAGATAAAATTCAAAGCTAAAGAGGGGCAGGGATAAGAGTCTCACCTCTTCTCTGAGCTCCTTCATCCTTTCCTCAAAATCATAATCTTTCTGCTTCTCTTCCATCTTTTTCTTGTTGACTTCAAAACGTTTCTTCACCTGATCCAGGGTGGAACGTTCCACACGCATAGACATACCCAGGTTTCGCTGATCTGGGTGGCATCAATAGGGAATAAATCAAGGTTATTACAAAGCCCCTCAAAAAGTCTTGGAATTTTTTTTTTTAATGTTTCAAAAATAATAAAATAAGAAGACATTTTTTCAGGGCAAGGAGCTCAGTGGTGGAACAATTGCCTAGCATATGCAATGCCCTGGGTTTGATCCCTAACACCACAAAATAAATAATAAATAAATATATATATATATATATCTTTTTGCAAAATACCCAAAATAATTATATAGCAGAAATAATTATGACTAAAAAAATTCTTATCCTCACCTGTTCCCAGAAGCAGCAGTGGCTTTCTACTGCCCTTACTTAGCAGATAAGCACCAGTGGGGCTACCTAGGCCTAGAAGGCCATATTTGGGCTTACTGAGAACCTAGAACAATCTCTCACCTTATAGCCTCAAGAAATATTAAACTAAGAAAATAAAGGATGGCCTGTGCTAAAGCAAATGGAAGAGTTCCCTGGGTATTTAAAAAAAAAAAAAAGGGTGGGGACAAAGACAAACAACTCTTCCCTACCCCACTTCCAAAACCCAATCCCAGTCCCACTCACAAACTACCTCCAAGCCTTACGTTTCTTTCCATTAATGTGATCCAGGAAGTTGATAGAGTCTTTCACCACACAGTCACAGACATTGCAGTAATATCTGACAGATGGGAAGAAATAGCACATGGGTCAAATCTGGTTTTAATCAAACAAGAAATTACAATTTCAGGGGGTCAGGCTTACTGGTGATTGAACTCAGAGGTGCTTTACCACTCAGCCACATCTCCAGTCCTTTTATTTTGAGACAGGGTCTCACTAAGTTGCTGAAGTTGGCCTCAAACTTGGAATCCTCCTGCCTTAGCCTCCTAAGATGCTGGGGTAAGTGTAAACCAACACACACAGAAAGAAACTAATTTTAATGTAATCTCTTTAGAGTTTCCATTATAGCTTAACTCTTGAGAGAGGGTGGTAGCCAACCTCCAAAACAGACCAACCCTCCTATTCCTACCTGTGTTGCCTCCTCTCAGTTTGTACCAGGGTTGATCTGTATGACCAACATACCAAACATGTCAAAACTGATGGTATGTACTTCTAAGGACATTAAAAAACAAGGCTTCTGTCCTTGTGTGGATTACTTGCTCTGGGCAAGTCAGTTGCTTTGTTTTGAGATGCCCATGGGATGAAGAACTTCAGTCTCCAAATCACAGGCATGTGAGAGAGCTTGAAGGCAGATCCTCCAGCTTTATTTAGACCTCCAAGCCAATTCCTTGACTACAGCCTTACAAAAGACCCTGAGCCAGAAACACCTGGGTAAACTACTCCCAGATTCCTTGCCCACAGAAACTATTTTTTGTTGCTTAACTCTGAATTAACTTGATAGTTTACATAACAAAAGATAATAGAGATAAAAATGATATCATCAGTGGGTATACTAAACAGCTCAGAGAAGGGACACTAATTGGTATCTATATTTTTCTCCTGCTGGAAATCTTAACTGGACAGAGGAAGAGTCGTAGGGTGACAAAAGGGTAACAAGCTATTGTGGAACCCTACTTCCTACAGAATGTAGTCTCGGTCTGGAAAGAAAATTAATAACAACTATGGACTTTGCAGCTAATCTGGAACCTCAATACTCTTTCTTCACCATTAACAGCTTCTTAGTTCTAATCTAGCTCTTTTAAATTTCTCCCCTAAAAATCTTCTCAGTAATTCCTTCCTTCATTTCTTCTGACAGAACAAATAATCCCTTTCAAGATTTTAAGAAATAGTTATAGTACTAATATTAAAATGCCCATAAAGCAACTTCTCCTAAAGACCACAAACTTGAGACCTTAACAAAGACTTAACATAAGTCATAGGACTAACATACCGAAGTCCACAAAGCAATCCCTCCCCTCCCACAGACTATTCACTAAAGACCCTGGAGAGAAATAAAAATACATGTTTACATAAAAGGATAGAATTATGGTCAAAATAAGATTGTTCCCTGGGGTCAGGGACCCTCCTCTACACTTCCTAAAACCAACAGTTTATTATACACATCTTTGCTTCAAAGAAAGATGAAAAACTACTTACCCTCCCATCTCAGACTGTGGGGTGGTCTTGGTAATGACAATTGTCTTCCCAAGCTTAGATTCCAAGTCCACTTTGTAGTCCCTATGCCGCAGAAGTTCCCGTTTGACTGGCTGCACTGGTTTTCCTAAAACATGATGGGAAAGAAAGTCCCTTCAATATTATAGTTCTTCAACCAGAAAGAAGAAGAAATGAATGAAACTCAAAATCCAGGGAACTACTCTCATTTCTTTTTATTTCTGTTTCTTTTGTGGTACCAAGGATTGAACCCAGCTCCACTCTATCATTGAGCTACACCCCCCAGTCCTTATTTCTTATTTTGAGACAGGGTCTGGCCAGTTGCCCAGGCTGGCCTAGAATTTGCAATCCTCCTGCCTCAGCCTCTTAAGTAGCTGGGATTATAGGCATGTGTCACCTCGCTCAGGTTTTCATTTCTTTTTTGATTCATGAAAGATGAAACACAATATGCACCTTAAGAGACAGCAGCAGCTGAATGAGAACCTGAACATTGAAAAAAGTGGTAAGAAATCCCCGATTCACTACAGTTTTTCTTCACTTTAAAGCCAGCAAGTCACCAGGCATGATGGCACATACCTGTAAGCCCAGCAGCCTGGGAGGCTGAAGCAGTATGATCACAAGTTCAAAGCCAGCCTCAGCAA